CCAGGCTCAGGTCAAGGTGTTAGCAGTACCTCCCTCCCTCTGGAAGCTCTAGAGGACACCAGTTCTTCCCTCTTCCAGGTTCTGATGGCTGCCAACATTCTTAGGCTTGTGGCTACATTGCCAATCTCTGCCTTAAGAATCACATCACCTTCTCCTTTTCTGTGGTCAAATCTCTCTCCTGCCTCCCCCTTACAAGGACATCTGTGTTTGCATTTAGGGCCCAGCCTGGTAATACAGAACAATGTCCCCATTCTAAAAACCTTAACTTGAAGTCCTTTTTTTCGATACAAGGTAACACAGGTTTCAGGGATTAAGACATGACTATCCTTGGAGGGTGCTCATTATTCAGCCTGCCACACCTGCCTCCAAATAAACCCAAAGCAACCAAGTTACTGCTCATAAATGCTATTCATAATGCCTCTTCTAATAAAAAAAAAAAAACTGTTAAGAAAGGATGGCAGTGGGTATTTTTGGAGAATACAACCTATGGCAAGCATTTCCAAACAGTTCTCATTAATAAGCTAGTAACTTAAATATTCCAGCACCAAATTTTAACTTATTAAAACTCTTAAATCCTCCCCTAAGTTCATAATGATTATTTGATTTGCTATTTGAAAAAATTACTCCCAGTGGTAAGGTATTTCAATACCACCCTGCTATGGAGAGAAATCTCATCAAGCCTACTCTGATTTCAACTCCACTCAAGTTCCCAGTACAATAGACAATAGTACTCCAACTTCATTACCTCTTCCTACCTCACAATCTGCCTAGGATCAGGAAATTACTAATTCTGTACTCATTAAAGGTGTTACTATTTTTAATGGTTCCTGAATGAGAAAAGTAGTAAAGATTAAAATTCCCAATAGCATGGGAAAGTAATACAGGACAACGACTAAAAATATGGAAGATAGCTTGCCTGGCTTCAAATCCCATCCTCACCAACACGCAGCTGTGTGAACTAAGGCAATTCAAAATTCAACCTCTGCACTCTGCTTCTCCCAACCAGCAAACAAAGCTAAAATACACACCTCATAGGGTTGTTGTAAGGGTTAAAGGAGAATGTGAGAGTGTGTGTGTGTAGGACACCTAGAACAGAGCTTGGTTCATTAAGGTTAACTGTTATTAGTGATGATGCCCACGATGGGAGACATACAGATATTACTGGACAGGGTGAAAAACCTCTCACAACCAAAATTGAAGGTACTATAATGACATAATTAAATAATAATTAACAATCTGTTTGATGGAAACCATAAAATTAGATGCAAGATTTACACTAAAGTCTGTGAGAACTTTTAAAGGATATTCCTAATTAAACATAAGAGCTACTCTGCCAACTAGGATCACCAAATGCACAGGCCTCCTACCAAAAAACTGGCCCACAGCCCTGAGATGTAGACTTCTCCAGAAGCCATACATCCTGTTCTCAATCTAGATATGGGGGCCACCACTGTTTGTACTGCTTGTACTGTTTGTTTCTAGGAGTAGTAAAAGGTAGAAACAAAGTGCCCAATATCACTGAAAGGCATTTCATGAAAGTAGGGCAACCGTTTTATTTTGTTCTAGAAGGGGAATTGGACTCAGGCTTGGATTCAGGTACTGAGAGTGTGACCTAGGACAGGGCAAAGTTTAATGATCCTCCTGAACTCTTTCTACCTTCTCACAGCCTTCTTCCAGGTACCTGCCTTGACCCCCAGCCTCCAATGGTTCCATCCTATCCCCTAGTAACTATCGCCAGCACCTCATACTCACTGCTTACCATATTTTCTACTGAAGTCAAGTCAGTTAGTTCACAAACAGCCCACACATCATTAATTTCCTGTGCAGCCAAAATATTACACATTTACAATAGAGCAATTTCTACTATTTATACAGATCTATGGGGAGAAATTCTGTACTACAAACTTTTATATACAATTCAAAAGTAACTTGAGACTCATGACTATACCTATGGTAGAAAACAAGGATGTGTTTGCTTTATCAAGCCTCAAAGTAAAACAAGATTTCAGCAGGCACCAGAGTTTGTGCCTTCCTAATCTAAGACTGGAGCAAGCGGCCAGTTACTCACTTCTACTACCAGCTTACAGCTTTGTGGAGCATGCAAAACACCAAACACCTAAATTAGCCCACAGGAGTGACATCACTAACAGGCTAACATGGCTCCATAGAAAATCAAGAGGAAGCCAAGAACTGACTCAACACCTAGCAGTCCAGCAAACCAAGCTACAGAGGAATCACATGTATAGGTGATGTAGGAAGGAGTTAGAGGCAGATGGGGCTAGACAGGGAAAGATAAGGGAAAGGCTCCCAGAAATCTGTGGGGTCCCATAGATCCCAAGGACAACAAAAGGCCCAGATACAGGCTCCTACCTATTCCAAGGAAACAGAGATAGAGCAGCAAAAACAGAAAAAAATAAATAAATAAATAAATAAATAAATAAATAAATAAATAAATAAATAAATAAATAAACCTGGCTCCCCAGCTCCAAAATGTTAGGGAATATCTTCTTTTAATGGCTACCAAGTAACCACAAAAACTCACCAGACCACAAAGAAGTCATTAAGGTGTTATCAATAGTCCCTGCTCAAACCAAGACTGAACAAGGATCTCAAGGCAGTGGGCTCCCTGGCTGGGTGCTCAATAAAAGACTGACACTGAAAGGCCTCAGTGGCAACCTTGTTGGGACCCCTCTCACTTCTGAGAGTTTTCTCTGTATCTCTGCTTAATAAACTTGTATTGCTTTGCTCACTCTTCCTTGTCCACGAGATCCATTCTTTGACTTGGTGACAAAAGAATCTAGCTCTTCACTATCAGAGGCACTGCTGAGATCTGACAAGCAAGGGACAGTCTCCAGAGATGGGTGTCCATCCTCAAAACAAGAGTTATGAGGCTGAGACTGAGAGCAGTGCGGAAGCAGGCCAACTGAGAAGAGCAGCTCAGAAAGGCTGGGTACAGAGTAAGGGCTCAGGATGGAACTCCGGGCTCTCTTAAGAGTCCTACTTCCATAAGAGGTGGTCCCAAATCAGTGGCACTCCCAGAAAAACACTCCGGAGAACAGCATTCCTGGTAAGGCCTCCTGGAAGACAGGTTAAGATACAGCAATGCGCTTACAAAGCTCAACAAGCACAGAAGGGAATAAGCCACCATGAGTGTGAGTCAATGCACATGGTCCAAAAACTGCACACACCTGAACTATCAGATAAAGAACAAAAGGACTCAAACATAGGAAATGCCTTAAAAATGAAACTAATAGGAAACAAAGAACTGTCAGGAATGACCAGGCAGATTTGAAAAAGAAATAAATGGAACCTACAGAACTGAAAAAATACAGTTGACCCTTGAACAACCTAGGGGTTAGGGGCACCGATCAATCCCCATGCAATGAAAATTCGTGTATAACTTTTGACTCCCCCAAAACTTACTATCAATAGCCTACTGTTGACTGGACGCCTTACCAATAACATAAACCAATTAACATATATTTTGTATGCTATATTATATACTGGATTCTTACAACAAAGTTAGGGAAAAGAAAATGTTATTAAGAAAACCATAAGAAAAAAGAAATTTCCAGTACCATACTGTAGGAAATCTATGCATAAGTAGACCTCCACAATTCAAAACCATGTTGTTCAAGAGTCAACTGTAATTGCTAAATTTAAATATCCCAAACAAGTTAAATAGCAGATTAAATATCGCTGATAACAGAATTAGTGAGATGGAAAATACAGCTAAAGAAACTACCATGTAAGCAAGAATCCAAATTAGTTTCGGGGATTAGGAATAGTCCAAATTACCTCTAAATTAATTATAAAGCCATGATTCAAATTAGACTCCTATCTAAAAACAAACACCGTGGGGGCGCCTGGGTGGCACAGTCAGTTAAGGGATCGAGTCTTGGTTTCTGCTCAGGTCATGATCTCAGGGTGGTGAGATCGAGTCCGACAGGCGCTGCAATCAGCAGTCTGCCATGGAACTCTCTCTCCCATTTCCCCTGCCCCTTCCCTATATACACACTCGCTCAGGTGCTCTCTCTCTCTCTCTCTCTCTCTCTCTTAAATAAGTAAATCTTAAAAAATAAAAGCAAACACTGTGTTAGACATGTTTATTAACTTTTAAGCCTCAAAGGATTGCTTTTAGAGGTCTTTTTATCTTTACAACAACCCTTTTAACGTACTTAAAGAAATGAACAGACTAGGATCCAAATCGCCAGATATATCCTTCAATGAAACTAAATCTAAATATTAGTGTAGGTTCTGTTTTCAAGACATTCTTGCTGGAAGAGTCACAGAAAATCGTACCTCATGCATTCTGGAGCACAGGAGTGAGAAACAAAACGGAATGACATTATTAACCCAGAGAGCAGCCTCTAAAAGGAAGAAGACTCATTGCCCCAGGATTCTTCTCATACTGGCTAGAATCCTGCATTTGCCAGTTTAATTCCATCCTATTCATTCCTCAACTCTGTTAAAATAACAGTAACAACATAGTTGACCCTCCCGCAAAACTTCACTTGGCCCATGGCCATGTGGATATTTAATTTAGCAAAATTAATCCATGTTATCCCTCATTTTCAGTATTCTGATACACATTTATAGCTCAGCTCCCAGTTTCATTCAACCATCATTATTAACTAACTGTTAGGCTTAGCAACTCACACCCCCTCCACAAATCTCTACTCCTTTAATGTGTGTGTCCTGACTTAAATTCCTAATGAGTCTTGTTTACAGAAGGCACATGTATAATTTTACCTACAACTTAAAAAGTCTTCCATACTCCTAAGGAAAATGGACTGGTCCAATATTAAATTTTCAATTGTTTGATTCACCCCAAAGCTATCAACCCTTCTGTAATTTACTTACACACACATATATAAAACCATCATCGCCGCCTATTTTCACTAGCTGACACCAACAAAAAGATCTGCAAGCCTCTCTGATCATGACAGCTGCCTCGGGAGACAAAGTGACTAAGAGAAGCAACCAGAATGGCGAGTTTCAGCTTTGCGAAGTGGCAGTATCGTAGCCAATGAGGTTTATCCGAGGCGCGATTATTGCTAATTGAAAACTTTTCCCAGAATGGCGAGTTTCAAATACTTTGGCTTCTTTGCACATCTAAGCAAAACATTCCTTAGCAGTGACTACACAGCCCGCCAAGTTTTAAAACGAGTTGTTCCTATGAGAGACACCTAACACTGGGAAACGAACAAGGGATAGTGGAAGGGGAGGTGGGCGGGGGTGGTGACTGGGTGATGGGCACTGAGGGGGGCACTTGGCAGGACGAGCACTGGGTGTTATGCTAAATGTTGGCAAATTGAACTCCAATAAAAAAAAAAATTCTTTTTTTTAAAACGAGTTGTTCCTACTTGGGAAAATCACATCTGCCTTTAAAAAAATAAAAATAAAAAATTATTGTCCTTAAAATTAAGCCGAAAAAGAAATCCTATCACCTAAAAGTTCACTTTGCAATGTCTGGTAGCCTCAAGACGCTAGAGAGGTGGGGAGAAGTTCGACTTAAAAAAAAAAAAAAAATGCAATGTTGGAAAAATAAATAAATAAATAAATGCAATGTTGGGCAGCCCGGGTGGCTCAGCGGTTTAGCACCTGCCTTCGGCCCAGGGCATGATCCTGGAGACCCGGGATCGGGTCCCACATCGGGCTCCCTGCACGGAGCCTGCTTCTCCCTCTGCCTGTGTCCCTGCCTCTCTCTCTCTCTCTCTCTCTCTCTCTCTCTGTCTCTATGAATAAATAAAGTCTTAAAAAAAAAAAAAAAAAGCAATGTTCACCTCGGTGACGTCAATACATACATACTCGACCTGCTTTTCCTGCCGGCCAGAAGGAACTTGGGGCAACTCAATGATCAGTGCAAGTGTCAGCCAAACGGAATTAGGCCCTGGGCCCGTAAATCTATTGGGAGATTGGCAGCTCTGGAAACCTAGAACAAAATTTCCCCACCCCATCCCCACCCCATCCCCACCCCATCCTCATCCCCACCCCCATCCCCATCCCCCAGGCACCGTGGGTCCACCCCGTGGGTCAAAGTTGAATGAACTTTTAGGATCCCGGACCCGAGCCGCGGCCCTCGGGGAAGGCAGGAGCTGCCCCAGCACAGCTCGGGGAGACACTCACGAACTTGGGGCGCTTCTCTCCAGGCTCCTCGACGGCGCCGGGCGGAGGGCGCTGGGGGCCCTTCCTGCGCGGCATCTTGCTTTCCCTGCAGCTGCGGAGCGAGGCGGAGGCGGGGTAGGGCGCCCCCGCGGCGGCGGAGCCGGGCTTCGGGTGGTGCGGCCGCGGCCGGGGCCGATCCATCTTTCCCCGCAGCTCCGGGGTGCGGCGGGGTGGGGGACAAAAGGCGGCGGCACAGCGAGCCCGCCAGAGGGGACCTGCCCGCCCGGTCCCGCCCGGTCCCGCCGCGCCGGCCCAACTCACGGCCCAACCGCTGCTGCCCGGGGCCGCTGCCAGCACGTCCAAAAACTCCCGCCACCGCGGACGGCTCCGCGCCGGCCAATCAGGCGCGGCGTTGCCAACATCGCCACGCCCACGACCCGCCTTTTCCGGGCAGAGCGAAACGTGATTGGCTGTGCGGCCCCTCCGTTTGGCCGTTCAAGCCCTCTGGCGGTCCTAGCCGCTCCGCCGTGACCCGGCCCGGGTGGGACCGGGTCCGGAAGGCGTGAGAGCCTCCCGGGAATTGGGAATTGGGGGAACCGGTTCCTGCTAACCTGGAAGGGCGGGCGAGACCCTCTGCTCCACCGTCTGAGAAGCTCTGGAAGGAGAAGGCCTCTGCCAACCCTTAAGAGTCCTACTTCCATCAGAGCTGGTCCCAAATCAGGGGCACTCCCCAGACCACCACCGCGGAGAAGAGCATCCCCGGTAAGGCCCTCCTGGAAGGCAGGGTAAGATGCAGCAATGCGCTTACAAAGCTCAACACTCCGGAGGGCCCTGGTGGGATGGGCCGCTGGGAAGAGGAAAGGGACAGATGGGGCTGGGCCGGGACCGATAAGGGCAAGGCCCCCGAGTCAGACTCCCATAAATCCCAAGGACACCGAGATGCAACACAACCAGAGATAAGGAAGCAGATCCGGCCACCGGGCCTCAAATGTTGGGGAGTATCTTCCTTTGATGGCTACAGAGTAATCGCAGAGACTCCCCAGACCCAAAACAACAACAAAACCATGCCATTCACTCAAGATGGCACAAGACATCTCAAGGCCGAAATCTCCCTAGTCAGGTTCTCTATAAAAGGCCAGTTAAAAAAAAAAAACACCTCATTGGCAGCCCTGCCCAGACCCCTCTCACTTCTGGGAGCTTGCTCTGTGTCTTTGCTTAATGCACTACTATTGCTTTACTCTTCTTTCTCCCCGAGATTCATTCTGGGACTCCGTGAGACGAGAACCTAGCTCTCCCACATCTCGGAACCTGAAAAGGTGGTAGGCAGGTGAGAACAACAGCAACCAGGATGCTCCCAAAGGATGCTTTCTGGACCTACCGAGCACCTGCTGAGTACCTAAGTGCTGAGGGCCTGCTCTGGGGCGGCAGAAGGGTCCGCTAAAAATCAGAAGGGGCTTGGCCACGTCCCTAAGGAGCTCACAGTCAGTGGTTCACAAACCTTTACACAAATAACAAAATAATATAAATATATAGCAGTTATTTTTTTTTTTTAGATTTATTTATTTATTTATTTATTCATGAGAGACACAGGCAGAGGGAGAAGCAGGCTCCATGCAGGGAGCCCGTCGTGGGACTCAATCCCGGATCCCCACTCGATCCCGGATCTCCAGGATCACGCCCTGGGCCAAAGGCAGATAGATGCTCAACCGCTGAGCCACCCAGGCATCCCCATAGCAGTCATTTTAAAGGTTCATTGAAAACAAAGAAGGGGGATATTTCCAATCTGAAGGAGCAGATCTGGAAAGCCAAAAGGAAGAGTCCATGGATTTTCACCAGGCAGGAAAGAGTGGCAGGCCATCAGATACAAGACGTTCTGGGTGAGAAGCAAGGCCCAGAGCGCTCAAGACCATAGAGCTGAAAAATCTTGAGGATGTACAATGAAGGGCCTGGAGCTGAAACCATGCAAGTTTGTTGAGTATAGCCAAGATCAGGCCTCAAGGCTAAAGCAGTTTTCCCACACATCAGTGTGCTTGTTCCCTCTTTTAAAGTCATCTTTTCCTTTGAACTATTTCCTTAAGTTATCCGTCTTCTGGCTACATGCAAGTGGTGTGGGCCAAGACTCTGGTAAACATGCAGTCCTGATTTGGGTACAAGAAACAACTTTAGGGGGGATCCCTGGGTGGCTCAGCAGTTTAGTGCCTGCCTTTGACCCAGGGCGTGATCCTGGAAACCCAGGATCAAGTCCCACAACAGGCTCCCTGCGTGGAGCCTGCTTCTCCTTCTGTCTGTGTCTCTGCCTCTCTGTCTCTCTCTCTCTCTCTCTGTGTGTGTCCCTCATGAATGAATAAATAAATAAAATCTTTAAAGAAAAAAGAAAGAAAGAAACAACTCTAGCAACTCTGGGGAGGTTCAGAAAAGGGTCCTTAGTTCCAAGTATGTCTTCAGGCTATAGTCATTGGGTTGTTTGTTTGCTTAATATTTATTTGTTTATACTGTTCCAGACTTTCTGTGCCAGTCTTTGTCTTGAAAGAGCACATAATATTTAGGGGAAAGTCCAGGTGAACAGCAAGGTCCAGAGAACTGAAGTAGTTCCTTAGGTCTTAATGACCATGAGGCCCAAGGTATAAATTTTATTCCTGTCATTTACTAGCTATGGGATGTTGAAGATGACAACTTCTTTCTTTCTTTCTTCTTCTTTGTTTTACACTTTCTTTCTTTGCCTTTCCACCTGCAAAAGGGGATAGTAATAATAATACCTAACAAACAGGGGTGTTGCCAGGCTTACACGGGATAGCATATGTAAAGTTCTCAGAAATGTCTGTGAAAGCCCTTCCCACCAGAGACCACCAGGAGGAAGGGCTTCCCACCAGGACCACTTGTAGCTGAACAAGTGGAATTCATTACTCTCTGGGAATGAGATCATGCACTATAGGGAACTGTGGGGCCTCCCAGTAGGGAAGTATCAGAAAGGACTCAAAGGATTTGGACTTTGGTTAGGTGATCGTGGAAGGTTCCTCTGAAACCAAGTGAGGAGGGTTACTCTGGATTTCAGTGCTGTCAGGAATTGGGGACAGTAAATGATTGGGTATCCTAATAAGTTTTATCTAGGAGAATGGCAGGTAAAGAATGAGGCCAGAGGAACACCTGGGTGGCTCAATGGTTGAGCATCTGCCTTTGGCTCAGGGTGTTATCTCAGGGTCCTGGAATTGAGTCCTGCATCAGGCTCCTCACAGGGAGCCAGCTTCTCCCTCTGCCTTTGTCTTTGTGTCTCTCATGAATAAATAAATAAAATCTTTTTAAAAATTTAAACAAAAAAGGATGAGGCTAGAGTTGGAACTGACAATAAAGCCACAGTCATTCATAATATGGGGGGTGGGGGAGGTCTTTTGTGATTTGCACTTGACCTTGCTGTTGTTTGTGCATAAACTTAGAAGTGGTCTTGTTCTGTCTCACTTCAACACAGCGTGACCTTATCCGATATTGGGGCTCTGAGAGATTATGACCATGAGGAGAACAATGTGGCTTAGCTGTGATTGTCAGGCTAGCTTTTAAAAACCTTGAGCCTTTACTCTAAGTGTCAAACCAGCTACCTGATGTGAAGGGGGCTGCTCTTTTCTTTCTCCAGTCCTTGGCATATAGAAGGTACTAAGTATAAATTAACAGAAGTTATTAACAATTTATTATAATTAATTTTCAAGCTTCACATAGATTACTCTGAAATTTTTCTTATAGAAACTCTTGGGGCACCTGGGTGGCTCAGCCAGTTAAGCATCTAACTTCAACTCAGATCATGATCTCAGGGTCCTGGGATCCGAGCCTGTGTGGGGCTCTGTGTGTCAATCTCCCTCTGCTTCTCCCCCTGCTCATGCTCTCTCTCAAATAGATAAAATCTTTAAAAAAAAAATTCTTTGCAACTGCAATGCATCTGTGAAAAATAATACTTTTGTCTAAGCTTTACATTTTTAAAAGTACATTTTTAATTTGCTTATTATTTAAACTTTACAATAGCATGCATTGCTTCTCATTCT